TTTTTTAGTTACATGGTGGAAGTACAATATCCAAGTTATAGTATGTTACAGAGGACCCCTAGACCCATATTAATACTCTTATAAGTAATTTCATATATTGAATATCAAAAAAGTTCCATGGCTTACAAATATTTAGTTACAAAAGTTGYGTTTGTGAACAATTTCAAAAATGTTAGTTAACACCTTTATCCATTGAAGGGGTCCTTCAATGAGGATTAGCTTTAAAAATTAGTTATCTCTGGACTTGAGTTTTTGAATTTTTTGAGTAGTATCAAATGTTTGCTTAGTACCCTACTGAATTTATAGGATAGGTTATAAAATAATGTAAGATCCCATAGCCAAATATGTACCTACATGTATAATAATTTTGTTTTCTATACAAATATTGTGAAAACTGGTAAAAATATTAGTCTTTTACTGAATTTTTTTCTAAAACCATTTTAATTTTTACAGAAAATCAAAAATAGTAAAAGACGAGTCTGATGAAGAAGTCGAAGTTAAAAATGATATTATTGTGGGTGTAAATATTCCTGATAAGACACAAAATAATAAAAGAAAATTGGCAACCAATGGTATCAGCAATCAAACAAAAAATAGCATTAAGAAAAAAAAGAGTGTATCAAACAGTTGGAAAGTCAGTGAAAATGTTTAATGTAATACATTTTTTTTTGATATTAAATTAATAAGACAGTAAGTCATTTTTATCATTTATGTACAATTGTCTCTATAACCAGTATAACCTGATCCATGAAATTGAAACTACTGTTTCTGGTTTCATAAATCATTGCCATTATATACCAATATACCATACAATAGGAAATTCTTACTATTAGATTTTTTCTAGATCACAGAGCAGCCAATTATTGCATGCAATTTTTCTATTAATTATAAATAATATGATCTTTTAGACTACAAATGATAACCATTTATAAAATAAAATAAAATATTAGATTTCAAAATACAAAACAAAACATATCTTTAGAATGAGATTTTTTAAAAATCTTTTTTATTGACTATTACATATTTAGAGCGTTGGAGAAAACCCAGTTCTAAATTTGAAGCTTATACGTTTTTAAGAAATAGCAATGAGTGATTGTATTATTTTTCTTAAAATTATTTAAGATCAAGAGCAAAATAATACACACAAAAATTGATTTTCAAGATTTTTTTTTAATTCAAAACAAAAATAAGATATTCAAACAACATAATTTCCCACAAAACTATAATATATGATACATAGCATAGTTTGCACAATTTTGGTAACCCTAAGATTAAATTTCAGTTAACAATAACCCAGGTTATTTATAATTAATTCACTAGTTTTCACACACTAAAATACAACTTTAAATTGATATAGTTATAATTTATAAAATAATAAAGTATATTTAAAAAAAAAACAAATATAATCCGTAAAAAAATGAACACAACAAAAATTAATTTTTAGCTAAAAATAACAAATATAAGACACATAAATAATATATTAAATATTTCCATTATAGTTAATGTCTATGAAATTTAGAATATTCTATACTTTGATTAACATACATCGTATACCTATAAAAAGACAGTTGTTTATTGATGCTAAGGGATTACGAATAATTGATTTTTAAATATTTGAAATCGAAATCAAGTATTTTATTGATGGGGGAGGGGGGGAAATAATAATTTGAAACGTCAACAAATTTAAATTAATGTAAAATGTATGAATAGATTGTTATGATAAAGTAGCGGTTCTCACCATTCTTCTGGTGTGACTAGAATGTTATTCTTTGGTAATCCGCTTAAGTCTTTAGTTTTCAAAAAAATTAAAATTAAATTAAAAATGAACTAACTTCTAAACTTTGGCATCCAAGTTGTTAGCATAACACCTAAAAACAATTCATTTTGGTTTGAATAAATAATAAATTTAACTATATGTCAGAAATCAAACTACACATGATAATAAATTAGTTACAGCGAAAAGCAAGGGGAAGTGTACATTATTATAGTATTACCATCTGTGAAAACCAACACCAATATAATATTAATAAGTTAATATTTCCATTACCTATTGAAAAAGCTTAATAAACCATAAGTTCTACTGACTCTACTCTTGTCTCTTATAAATTGTTTTATAATACAATTAACATTCCTCAATTTGAACATATATTACAATATTAAGAATTATTTAAAATTTAGTACTCAAATTGACCGCCACCAGTTTTGAGCTATAAATAGAGCATTGCAAGATAGTTGTGGAAGAACGAGTAGCTTATAAATTATACTATGCCATCTGATTCATTTATAATTGATCAGGTAAATTTTGGCCATTTTAAGGTTTATCATGTAACTTTTTAATGATACCAGATAATGGCCAAAATTTTTCTTAATCTATAGAAAAGCTAACAAGTTATTGGTTTGTTATTTATACATTTAAGTCATGACGTTAGTTCCTCTAAAATTTCTTCAGTTGTACGTCGTTCACTTTTGAACCGATCCATATACATTTTTGGGACAGTCCAGTCTAATAATATTTCAATATTTTTTTTCAACAAATCATTTTCACTTTGACCATTACCTCGATAAGGACTTCGGCCAGAATTTTCAATAGAATCACATAATACCAAATCAATAAGTCTTTTTCCAAACCCTAATGCATTTAAGCGTTCAGTGGTTGATATGCGTATTAGTAAAACTGCTAATAACATCCGCATTCGGTCCAATGCCATACCAGGAGGAATAAATTCTTTTGTTTCTTGTTTGGGTGAACATGTTTCTTCATGGGTTATTATTTGAGTTTTTGTTTTGAAATATGAATTACACTTAACACACAAGTATGGTTTGTCTGTTTTGTGTATAGTTAACATATGTTTTTTTAAATGTGGTAGTTGTGTAAAAGCCGTATTGGTACAAACAAGACATTTAAATGGTTTTTCTCCAGTATGACGTCTTACATGCATTTTCATAGCAGTTGAATGTGCAAAAGATACTTTACATACTGGACAGGGATAAGGTTTTTCTCCACTATGTCTCCTCTCGTGTACTGTCAGTTGAGAACGTTGTACAAAACGAGCATCACAACTTTTACATTCATAAGGTTTTTCATGACGATGTGTCCTCAAATGTTGTATCATATGTCCTTTAAATTGTTTATGGCAAATTTTACATGTAAATGCTCTGATGTTATTATGATAGCTAGATAGATGTTTAGTTAGACCGTCCCTACGTAAAAATGCTTTTCCACACACTTCACATACATAATCATTTTGTCCCATATGCCGTTTCATATGGCCACGAAGAACTGAACGACAAGCAAATAATTGATGACATATTGCACATTCTAGTGTATATTGTTTGTTATGAGAACGCGCATGTTGCCATAGTTGACTGGCTCGTGTGAAGGATTTTAAGCATTTGTCGCATCTAAAAAATGTACAGAAATTTCTCAAGAAATGCTAAATGAAGTGATAATAATAATAATACATAATTATTAATTAGAAGAAATAACAACTTCTAAATGAAAAACTAAATACAAATATTTGTCTGCCTAGTAGTAGGTAGTTATACTAACATCAAATGATTTAACTAATATTATAAAAATAAAAGTATCTTTATCCCAATGGCCAAGTTGCAGAGGGTTATTTCTTTAATAAAAAAAAAAAAAAAGTGTTACCATAAATACATAAAAATTATATGTATTTATTTTCCATTTAATATTATAGTCGAACTTGGTTAACTCAATTTTTTTCCCAGCATCTAGAATTTCCTGTTATTTTATTATCTTTGCATAACTCAAATTTTGAAACCAGTTGTTTCAATCAGTGGCGGGCTTAAGGCATTAGCCCCTCCTCCCTTCGGGAATAAGCAATTTATTTTTCTAAGACGAGTATTATGATACAACTATCAATAATTTTTATAAAATATCTTCATTGAAGAATATGGTCTCAACAGATAATATCATTATTATCATTAGATGATTTTCAAAAGTTAAAAAAGAAACTTGGAATTAATAATGTAATATAAATATTTTTAATTAACAGTTCATCTTTGTTATTACTTTAATGAATGGTTTCAGATGAAAATTGATAGCAATATAAGTATTTAAAATCTGTTGTTATTGTGAAACAAATACATAATGATAATAAAAAAATGATTTAAAATTAGTAAAAACATATTATGTTAATTAAAATTGTAAATAGACTTAAAATACAACTATGTAAATTCTTGATCCTCCATTAGCATTAGCCCCCTTCCCTTGGTGTGTGTTAAAACCAGCCATTACTTTAAAATTCGGGTTAATTAAGTCTGATGGTATAAAATTAACACTTGTATATAAAAAGCATCATCATAGCACAATAAATAATAATAATTATCTGTTTCAAAATTTTTATATTCAACTACAGACTTCTATACTAGTATAGAAATCTTGTGTATTCAGAAAGCTTAGATTAAGATAATTTTGGGCCAGTGTTAAATAATAATGTATCCATCATCCATGTATTATAGCCAATTTATAGGAAACATACTACATACCAGGCCAAGGGCCTACTTCTGTTTCTCCATCTATTGTCCATGGCATCCCCCCCTTCAATCTAAGCTTAATTGGCAGTACCTACCGTTATATAGTAAGTATAAGTATAGTTCTGCAAAATGTATATTTTAGGTTACTAAAATAGTTAAAATTCTTTTGTACTGAATACAAAAAAAAAAAAAAAAAACTACACAATAAACTAAAACATTAAGTAGAATAGGAAATATTTCATTTTATAACAGTTTTTTTGATAAAAATGATTAAAGAATATAGATTCTAGCGAATGACAGTAAAAGTAAAATATTATATAAATAAGTATATATATATATAGATAAGGTTGAACTATATTTTTATACACAATTATAATGCTAATTAAATTAGTTATAAGTAGGCAGGCACGGACTGGTAAAAAAGGGCACGGGATGCTAGATGCAAGGGCAAATATCAAGAATATTAGGGGCAAATTTAAAATATGTAGATTATATATAAAATATTGAAAGTATGTAAAAATCGTGAATAAGTACCAAGTTACAACAAATATTCAAACAAAATTGTACAATATTAGATTAAAAACAAATTAGATCAAATATATTTTAGGTAAAGGGATGCTGTAGCATTCCAGAATTCCAGTCAGTCCGCGCCTGTAAGTAGGCACCATTATAAAACTACTTTATAAGAAGAAAATAGCAATTATTTTCTGGAAAAAAATACATATATTTGGTTGATTAATTTTAATGTTGAAAACCCGTCACCAATATTTTCTTAAAAACTAAAGCCAATTTACAAATAGTAATATTTGTAATATGTTCGCTAAATTACTACCATTTTATAATTAAATTAATTAATTTGAATGCTGTTCGTGTTTTTTATAACTAAGAAATACATTTTATATGAAAATAATGATATCTAGTTGAAAAAGAAAACAAGTATTTTAAATAAAATATATCCTGTTTTTTTTCTACAAAAATAACTGGCAATAAAAAGAAAAAAATACCTGTGAGGATAATATCCAGTATGAATTCGCACATGTTCAATAAGCCGTTCCTTGATTGGAAACTTTTTATCACAATGACCACAAGTAAAATCTTCTTCTCGACCACAATTGTGAATGCACATCTTATGGTTTTTTAGAGTATTCTGGTGTGTAAATCTATTTCCACATAAATCACACTCATATGGCCGTTCACCAGTATGGACCCTGTAGTGCTTTTTCAATACATTGGGAAATGGGAAAATCTTATAACAATACTTGCATTGATGTTGTCTAGGGCTTTTCCTAACTACAGTTTTGTTTTTCTTAACAACCCCCATAATTAATATTGCGTTGATGCAGTGTTTAGCTGTTAAAAGTGTTATTCATGCTCGTTTATCGCTAATATAAGTAAGATAAATTTTATAATAGTAAAATTAATTATATTTAACTTATTTTCATTTTATAGCTTAGAAAAATAAGTTTCCCCAACACCGAAAGAGAAGCATTGAACTAGTTGTGGTAAAGTTCATAAAATATCAAAATATGAAGCCGTACATTGTTGTGTGTCCATAATAGTTCTTGAGTATCGCTCATAATTTTGATTCAAGACTAGATTCAACTCTTATTTTATCTGATCTGAAATTATCTTAAAACAAAATAATAAAAAATGTAGTTGGATATAAATTATAATGTAGGAAGTAGGTGTACACATGTACACATAAATTTAAATATTTTATGAATTAGGTGGTTATATTAAAATAATAAATATTTTTAAGGGAAAAATTAAATTAGCTAGTTGTAATTAGGAATAAATTGTAAATAATAGTTGAAATGAAATTAGTCAGTCTTGATTAAAAATTCAAGTATCACAAAAGCTTTTTTGATGAATGACAATATTTACAAACACTAATATATACTTAATATGGAAAGTAAGTGCTTAAAAAAGATACATGGACAGGATGGTTTGATTGAATAAGAGGGTGTTCATTAACACTAATTAAACACAAAAAAAGCTCGTGGGACTAAATCACGATAATTTAAAAATCACAGAATACTGGTGACTTTTTAAATGAAATAATGATAGTTTACTTACTTCAAAAAATACAAAACATAATTATTTGAAACTCTTAACTTGCTGTGTACTACTGTAAAATTAATATAAAATATAGGTTAACTGTATGAAATATTATTATGACGTGTTGAATGTGTTGATAGCTGATACCAAAAAGTAAAATACTAAATAGAACTTGGTAGCAACAATAGAATACATTACAATGGTAATGATTGGTGGTTTTAAGATAAATGTCAATAATAAATACGATAAATATTAAGTACCTATAAATTATAATAATATATTATAACAATTTTTAACTGATAAAATTTTCTTGATACACAAAACACAATTATGAATGATTATAATATCATAGTCAGTACTTTAATCTGTGGTACTAACTTTACTGTTCAATAGCCGCAGTCTGTGCAGTGTGCATACAACAACTTACTTACAACTGCATAGTACAAAATACAAAATGTGTGATAGTAATTTTACATTGTTGCCAAATGTGTTTTATATTGTATGTTTATCGATCAAGTTTAGTACAACATTGTGGACGGTACCAGAGCTCAAATAGTTAAATATTTTAAAAGAAATAAATATTATTCGTTAGGTAGCACTAATCATCTTTTTAGTTTTTTAATCTTTAATTGTATTATATCGCGGGTAAATATTGAAATACTCAAATATGAACAAATATAATTCTATTGAACTAAAAATTTAAGTTCTAATAAATACATTAGAAAAATATGAAAAATATTTTGCCGAAACCAGGGATCGAACCAGGGACCTTTAGATCTTCAGTCTAACGCTCTCCCAACTGAGCTATTTCGGCACGTTGATATGATTCATCGATTTTAGGCCATATTAAAACGCAACATTTATATTTTAATCATTATATTTTTATATTTCATTGTATAGTAGAGGCTAAAATATATTTTTTTCCAAATAAACACAACATAAAACTTGGAGTAAATGTGGGGGCTATGCTACTCTCCCCCTAAAAAGTGTATTTAATCCATACATATAGACATATAGTCAATATCTATTTTTCTTCATTCAAGCCCGTACGCAGGATTTCAAAAATAGGGGGGGGGGTGTTTTTGAAAAAAAAATGAATAAAATAGATATACCAATCAATAATTAGCAAATAGTGAAGATAACACTATATTATATTATGTTATGCAATAACATATTTACATATTGTAAGGTTATTACACATATAATTTTTACAAATAGTGTTATAAAATATTATACATATACTTATTACTTAGGTCTGAGGTAATAGATCAAATTACAATAAAATGATATTGACCTTGAAGACATTACCTATAATCTACAATCATTATGGTCCATTCATTGGAGAAAGAACTGTAAAAAAAGTTACTAGTTATTACAGGCCATTACACACTTTTTAATCTCGTATTGCACACTTGTTATTTCAAACTACACATAATTTTAGTCCCTATTGTAGAGTTACTTAAATAAATAAATAAAAATTTATATTTATCACTCATCATTATTATTAGGTACCTACTGGCTACTACAAATAAATAAACGATTATTACCTATTAGTATACCTATGTACATTGATTATGGAATATTCTATTCTATAATCAATGCTATATATTTTATACAGGCTGATAAAATATGTTTTTTTTAAAAGAGTTAGGTGGGTCTCGATTCAAGATATATATACGTAAATCTTTAATCGTGGTACTAGTGTACTACCTAAATAATGTAGTGGTATAGGATGTATAATACATGCAAGGACGGATCCAGGGGTGAAAAGAGGCCTATTCCTCTATCCAACCCTACTCGGCCTACAGCTAGTTTGAATAATTCCATAATATTTCACAATATTCAATTTAATAATTGACTTATATATGATAATCATCATTAAGGAAACCATAAGACTAGGTAGTGCCTTACTGCCTTAACTAGGTATTTGTCCCGGTATTTGTTTTTTATAGAGAGCTAATAAGACGAGGTAGGTCACGGTTACCAAGCCCAGGTATAAATAAATGTGTAAGTATGTAACCCACCATTTATCTTGAACATCATAAAATTAATGTATAAAAAGACGGACTGAATTCACATCATGTGTATTCAGCTACCTACCTATATTCTTTATTCCTTAGGTATGATACACTATTGGTGCCTGGTGGATGTATTAAATTTTAAAGAACCGATAAATAATTTTTTCATTGAAATGATAAATGTGTAGAACTTCAATATAATATAAAGGATAGATAACAGTTTAATTTTATATTGAGTACATTTTATTAATCAAAAACTTGTGGAATAAACCTTAATAAGTAGGTAAAACAATAAATGATTTAATATTTAAATATAATCTAATTGTGTATTATTTATTTGTACAACCATCATCTACGATAAAAAAAAAAAAAAAAAACCATGCAAGTATGTAACACAAGAAAAAATATTATTATTTTGTAATATATAAATATTAAAAGTATTATTAGTATAACTGGTATACAAAGTATTAGTACCTAATAATCTTTTTAATATTTATTTCGTCATTAGATACAGCCAAATATTTTTCTGTCAATACTTAGTATTAAAAGGTTATAAATTAATAAATTATAATTTAACCTTTCTTGTGAAATATAGAATTTCTCAAGTAATTTTTATCAATTCATATTTAAATTTTGAACATGAGGCACCCGTCTAGAAAGTATAAGAAAGCTGTTGCCCTCTAGGATTGTGGGAATTTTTTTTTTCAAAGTTGGCCACACTAAACAGTAGTAGAAGTTCTCCAAGCATAAAAAGTACTGGCGGATCTTGATAATATTATAATAGTAGTAGGTATAGTACTACGAAAATTGATTTTCTAGTACATCGTGGACGTTTCTGTTAAATATGTCTATTAAAAATCCTGCCAAGTGTGAAGTGCTTGCTGTAATTCGGTTTCTTAACGCGGAAGGAAAAACACCTGCTGACATTTTTTCACGGATCAAAAATGTTTATGGCGATGGTGTTATGAATCGAACAAACGTGTTTAAGTGGTGTCGTGAGTTTGATGAAGGCAGAACGAATATTCATGACGTTCAGAGGTGTAGAAGACCTTCAATTGTGACTGACGAGTTTGAGACAGAAAAGGGATCAGTTTGATTGAATTTTCGTCTCAATAAAACACAGTTAATGTGCGCAACGATTCTGTGAGACACAACAAAAGCTCAAGAGAGCAATTCATGACAAACGAAGGGGAATGTTAACCAAATGAGTGTGTTTGTTGTACAACACTCGCCCAAATACGGCCAATGTCATGACCAAGGTACTATTAGACTTATTAGTTTGGGACCTTTTGAATCATCCTGCAGCAATGCAGCATACTCCCTTCAGCTTTGATTTGGCTTTCATTTTTTCACTTCCCTGAAGACACATGGATGGAAAAATTTTTCAATTAAACAAGAGGTCCTGAACTGAAAGGAGGAGATGACGGGAGAGTTATTTGAGGAGTGCATTAACAAGCTTGCATTGCTTCTTAGTACCTCTGCATAGGACAAGAAGGCGACTACCTACGTTGAAAAATAACTTACATAATATGTATATTATCAAAACCGTGTATTTTCTTTTTTTTAAATATAATTCCATTAAAAATTAAGAAAAATCTATGACTCTTACTTTTTAGAAATGCCTCATATGTATACTAATAATAATAATGTACCTATATATGTACTACGTAGTAATAATATTCAATACCTATACAATATATGTAGGTATGTTACACAATAAACAACATATTTTGTACTAAAAAGGCCATAATGCCCATAATAGTTGTTAGTAAATATTATCATTAATATCTATTCAGTGTTTACTATAGTGTATTATCGTCTGTCGTTGACTCAGCTGGTGCACGGGCGCACGCCGTACAGCCATAGACCTATAGATTTGTCTACACCCCTTTAATATTCTAATAGGTAAGTCCTCAATGCGAAGCGGTCACTGTGTAGTGTGTGTGGCGTGTGCATCATAGGCGTGCGCAAACTTTGTCCACAGGAAGGGGGACCCACATTTAAAAGGTCTAATCAACTACCAAAGATTCTCGTACTAATGACTACAACTATAGTATAGTTTGTTTTTTTTTACTAAAAAAATTTACAATCTGTATACAATTATTACAATAAGCAAATTTGATTTTTATAATTAAGATTAAAATAACATGAGTAACATGTAGAGGGAAAAACCCATTGGTAATATCTCTTTTATTAATTCAATAGGTTTCTCCGCCATTTACGCTGCAGTCTACGGGGTGGGGTTTATTTTTGGTGGGAGGGGGGTAACGATGAACATGTGGGATATTCAAGTATTTGTATGCGTTCATAGATTTTGATGGAAGTGTTTGTACATGATTTTGGCTAGTTAGTGATAGTACCTACTTATTATTAGTATACTTAAATATTAAATTGTAAATTTTATAAAGTACCTTTTTATTTAATTCAATATGCAAACATAAAAATAATCTAGTATAGTATGTATAGAAAATATCAGATATCTATGAATTTATTATTAATGAAAAAGCCAGTGGCCTTGGCCTACCCATCTCCCCCAGTGCGAGCGCCGATGGTGTGCGTACCTGTATCTGGTATAATAATTGTTAATTATTAATTACCTATCAAATATATTCATGTCATTCTAGACTGATTAATTTGTTCAAAATTAAGATAAACAATATCGAATAAAAATCAGGCTTTTACATTTTCATTATATACAATTATAAATTTTCATTATATACAAATATAAATGCAAGATAATAATAAAATTATTATGAATCAAATGGATGGGCAAATTAAAAAAAAAAAAAAACATTTATCGACCCCGCGGGACCTATGCTGTACTGCTGTGCATCGCCAGTACTTGTGGTTTTTTTTATAAAACTCTCATATGAACTATGAGCAAATTTTGTTGTAGACTGTGTAGATATTGTGTAGTGTTCATAATTTATAATATATTACCATATTGTAATGATTAACATGCTGCATAACTATTAGCTTACGAAAATCTTATCATCAGCATTATCTATATTATTGTCATCTTATCATATAAATTATAATATAATCATAATGTATAAAATATCACATGGATACTGTTTACACTATAACATGAAAATCAGTGATTTTAGTATTTTACACTATTATGGCATATTTAACTATGTAGTTTCATAGGCTCGGACGACACCCATTGGCGTTAGCCCCAAAATATGGTAAGACTCACTCTCGTAATGTATGTCTACGGCGACGATCATTTTATAAGGAGTAATATGACATAAGTATTTTTGTATAATAATAATAATAATAATAATATTTTATCTCTTCCTTTTTTTCCTATTTTTTTTTTTTTAAATAATTAATATATTCTTTTAAATATTTCAAGCATATTAATTGTATTTTAATCAATACTAAATTATAATCAAATAAATGGTACCTATTTCTTCTTCTTGGTTTATAGTTCATCATTTTTATGACAATTCTGCACTTGAATTTGGGCAGGTAAGTATATTTATTATATAATTAAATCCTTATAAATATAGTATATACCTACATGCGTATGTAATAATAAAAAGGTAGTAAATTGGAGTGCGTGCATTATTTATAATATAATCAAATACATATATATATATATTGTGCAACTGTACAAGTATTACATTTTTGCTTTACTACTATATTATACTGTTTAAATCAGTGGTTCCCAATAAACTCTCATATGCTACACCCCCCTTTGTAGATTTTTGAAAATCTTGCGCCTCCCTACTATAAATTGTAAAAAATCGATCATCTTTTTTGGTGTAATTTACATATTAACTATCTATAT